AAATAAACATCAAATGATAAGAATTTTTAAAATATTCATATAAAATACGTAAAAAAAGAATACAATTTAACAAGTCAATCAAAATAAAAGTGCAGTCTAAGCAATTGATTTGTGTAAAACGTAGAAGACATCTTAAACCAATTAATAAGTAGTAAGAGATAAATAACAAGTAAGCTGGTGACGATATTTTTGAGGCGCCCACTGTCCACTGAAAACAGATATGGAGAGACTTTTAAAGGACGACGGGGCCGGTGGCCTGCAGCCACCTACTTTCAATGAACTGTCCAAAGCAGCAGCCCCCATTGAATGGCCATGCGGACCAGCAACAACAACAGGCACATAGAAGGCATAGCAGGCAAGGAACAAGGAAAAAGGAAAACGAACAACAACAGCAAAAAATGGCCAACAGCCAACACGATGCCAAAGTTGTGGGTTAGGAGCCAAAGCAGAAAGTCAGCCACTGCCGGAGAAGTGGCAGAGAGTGCAAAGAGGCGCTCAAATGGGGTTGTCACTATTTAACCCAAAAAGGTGGAGGTGCTGGCTCGATGTTAAGGCGTAGGGGAAGGGGGAGGGGAACGCGAACACACGAGTAACATACGACGCACTAACAAGAGGTGCCGAGAACCACGAGATTAGGTTCAAAGGCAGTGCTGGAGAGGCAGCAACTAAAAGGAAAAAAAAAGGCAGGATGTGGCGTTCATAACTCTTCTAATGGAAGGGTGGCCAACATTGTTGTTGTTGGAGCAGATGTGTCCGAGCATCCAATTGAATTACACTTTAATGGGTGCAAGAGAGACATCTAGCGGTGTTAATAAAAAACAAACAGCGCTTTTTTTTGGCCGCTGCGTGAGTTCTTTTTTCACATTTATGTTGCGCAAAAAAAAAAACGCAAAAGAAAACAACAAATTCCGATACAGTTAATGATAAGCATTGAAACTTGAGCGCCAGGTGCGAGTGCAATGGGGCTAGTGTGTGAGCGAGCACGCGTCTGTAGTAGGCGTTGCCCAAAGCAGATTTTGAGTGAGCGCATACTGAGCTGAGAGCAATGAGAGTGAGGCGCAATGAGTTGAGAGCGTACTGAAACTGAACGAAACATTTGAGTGCTTCACATTCTGTGTGTGTGTGTGTGGGTCTTATTGGAAACTGTTGCTCGATGCGAATTGGCAATCGTTATACAGATTTACCGTTAGCACGCGCTTGCTCACTCAATGGGCCCCCGCGTCCCCCCACTCCACAGTAGACCAACACACCACGCACCATAGACTTCACACTCCAACAACAAGAACAACAACATCAACTGCTCTCTGCACTCTCGTTCATCATCCAATTGTACGTTTGCACTGCATGCCCTCTCGGTCGCAGCTCGTTACGCCCCCCGCCGCCCACGTGATGGTCGACCAGTTACAGTTACAGTGCAAAGTGCTTTGCCACTATTTGGCCCTAGACTTGCAGCAACAACAACAACAACAGCAATCCAAGTCGACTCGGCTGGGACACTTTTCCAACTCTCTCTCTCTCTCTCTCTGTCTCACTATCTGCCTGTCTCACTGTCTCTCCCACTCTGTAGGTGTCTTTGCATTTTGCAAACTTTAATGAAAAATGAAGTGCAACAGAGTTTCTATGCTTTTTCCCTATTTTCTCTTCTTTATTTCTTTCTTGCGTGGCTGTAAATTGTTTGGGGATTTCAACGCTTCTCGCGTGTAAATCGCCGTAAAATGCTAATTTCCTAATGTATGTAAGCGAGTTACAAACAAACTGAAAAAAAAACATACACACTTATACGTATACGAATTACGCTGGCGTTTCTAATAGAAAGCTGTTAGCACCGCGAATGCAGCGAACAGTTCCTGCCCCTTTCCCTTTCCCTTCCACCTCATTATGGGATTTCTTATTGCCTGAAATTATGATTTCATGTTTTGGCACTTTTGAAGTGCAGCTCAGACATGTTCGTGCGTGTGTGTGCCTGCGTTATCCAATTAGCATGAAATATGACTTTAATTTTATTATGGCAGTCAATAGGCTTCAGAGCCAGCTGAATCCCCCATGCATGGCAGGGAGGGCACACATTACAAGGCCAGTTGTTGTAGACTTGTTACAGAATTGGTGAAAAAATGCAATTTTAGCTTTTAATTGGCAGCCAGGAATCAGCGTCCATTTAAAGTAATATTTATCCAATTGGATTTATAGCATATTTTTAGCTCATTAGTTTTTAAAGGTGTTTATAAGAAATATCATCAACTATAAACTTTTTAATACAGCAACACACTTATTTGTATTCGATGGACTCAGGCGGGAAATGCTTTTATTTGGTGCAAAAAGACAGTGTGTTTTCTCAACATTGTAGAAGGTTTTTTGTACAGTCCAATTTAACTTTTGTATGTATGAAAACCTAACATATTTTCTTTTTTAATGGACTGTAAAAAACTTTCTACGATTTGGAGAAAACACACTGTCTTTTTGCACCAAATAAAATAACCCCCCCTCTAGGTCTCCATTTAAAATATTTACTAAGCAAAATTGATTATACACAAATTTAGTGATTTTTCCTTTTTATCTTTTTGTTTTTAATTTGGAATAAATTATGCTTTTTATTAAATAAAGTATATCAGATTTAAAAGAAAAATTGGTAGAATTTTAAAACGTTTAGATTTTTTTTGAAAATCTCGTTATGATAAAAAATTCAAAGATTCAAAAGAAAGAATTGACAGAAAAAATGTTGGAAATTTATCCAATCCTGCATTTTCGAAAGATTTTATTATTATTTTTAGCGAAACATTTATCCATCTTTTAATATTGGTGATAAATGGTGAGTTATCTTCTTTAAATTGATTTTCATGTATTTATTTATTTATTATTATTTCCTAGTGCGACAAGAAGAATTTTATAAATTAATGCACTAGCTAAAAAAATAACAATTTTCTCCAGTATAATTGAATATATACAAGTAGAAAGCTGTTGTTCTACCTGTTCCAATCGTACAGACACAAAAAGAGAGATATGTTTATCTAATTATTTAGATATATTATTTGAAAATTAAATGAAAAAAAAAATGTATCACATTTTCTTGGGAATTGTACAATTTATTCTATATATTCTTGACTAGAATTTAAGATAAGGAAGTTGTGATCTGAGTTGGCTGGAAAGAAATAATATGGAGGACGTGAGAATGGGCTGTATACGAGTATAGGATTAGTTTTTTTTTTATTTTTATAAATTTTTCCATAATTTCATTTGCACTATCAACATATATTATTTATAAGAACTCGATTTACTTTGTTGCACTTAATGGCTCTGATTTCACTTTCTCCATACACGTTTATTATCTGCTGCTCAATCAAGTTTGTCATCGACTATTATATAGTGTCTATATAAATATTAAATCTATCGAAAATCCAAGCCCAATTCTCATGCACTTTGTTTTATTTATTAATGAACTAGAAAGACTAAACAAACTGCACAACTTTGTGGCAAATTCCATATAATTGGCAAAATTTAGAAACACAAACTGTTGTTGCCAACCGAAAATTGTTGCTTTTCGAGGCGGGGGCCAATGAAGTGCGTCAGAGATATGCGAATAGATAGCTCTGGGGTCCAATCTAAGTTCTTTCAGGGCCAGAGCTGCTTATGAAGCACAAAGCAGCCAATGGAATGCTGTTCCAACTACGATCAGCCATTACTGCTTAAAGATAAAGCATCACTTTAAGATTCTGTTGAAAGTCTAGACTTTCACAACCAACCAGAAAACTTTACGAAGCAGCGCCAAAAGCAAATAAAGGTGGAAAAGATCGAACAAATGAATTCGGGGTGGAGACTAAAGTTGGTGGCTCTTTTAAAGTCGTCGCACAAATTAAGTCTGAAGCGAATGGGCGGCGCGGGAGGCGCGGAGGCGCCGGCAAGCGGTAAAGTATCTAACAGATACGCCAGCAAACTAATAAGCACAGAGAAAAGCCAAACAGCAACGAGAGTTCATTTCTCGTTGGCCCAACTGGTGTGTATGAGTGTGTGTGAGTCGCACTCTGGCTGAGTAACTGAGCGCATTTCGCTCAACGGCGCCAAGAGAGCAGTAGCAGTAGCGGCAGAGATAGTGGTGGTGGTGGTGGTGCTTGTGTTAGTGGTGGTGGTGGTGGTGCCTGCTGCTACTGCCTTGCACTAATACCAGTGCCCGTAGAGCAAATCAGCCAAACACGTTGAAGGTCTTGCCCCGCCACATGTGTGTGAGGGTGCGAGCGAGCGCAACGACTTCCACTCAAAGCGCACTGCCATTGTGCCGCTGCGAGTGAGAGCGGTGCGGCAAGAGGGCGTCCGGAGCAGCCCGAGTGGTGGAATGAGAGAGATTTGTGTGATGTGTCGTTAGGTCGAAACGGTCGAGTCGGGTCGGGTCGTGTACCTTTTGCCACGAATGTTTTGCCAGTCAGGCTCTAAAAGGCCTTACGAGAACAGCTGAGATTTTGCTGCTCGCATGACGCGCATTTTTACAACTCGTGCTAGAGATATAAAAAAAATTTCAAAAATATTTTTCAAAGTGCGGCAAACGCGAGCGAAAATTTCTTTAAGTCGTTGACCAATACCAAAATTTAATATCACAATTTTATGCAGTTTCTCCGAAAGATTTTTAAAGATCACAAATAAAATAATTCTTAAACGGCAGAGCGCGCGAAAAAACCACAAAGTGTTTTTCGAAAAGAAAATTTAAGAAAATATACAACAAGCTGTGTAAAATGTGCAGAGCAAAAATAAAGAAATAATTTTGCCAACAAATACTGCACAATTGCAATAATTCCCAAACAGAGAATATTGTAACAAATAAAAATTCAAATCATTTTTATAAAGAGAGAGGAAATCAATTGTAATTAGTTTTGTGCGCTGCTGGCCCGCAAAGTGCGAACCGTTTGCGTAGACGGGCAACAATCAAAGTGTATTCCAGCAGTTATCCCACGTGTTCCGATCCAGCCGCCAAAATTATTACGCACAATTCGCTGAGCATGTACGGCGGCGGCGTCATGTGCGCCTCCCCGTCCACGGCTCCCGGCTTCTTCAATCCGCGGCCGCAGTCCGGCGCCGAGCTGTCGGCGTTCGATCTGGGGCTGCCGCGCTCCATGACGCTGGGCGTGCCGCCGCACAGTGCCTGGCACGATCCGAATCTCGGCGGCCATCTGCATGCGTCCGCGGGTCCGGGCTCGTTGGCGGGCACCACTGGCACCAGCAGCTTGGGGGCGAGCAGTGCCGGCGGCGGCGGCACCACACCCTCCAGCGTCGCCAGCCAACAGTCGGCGGGCATCAAACAGGATCTGTCCGGCCTCTCAGCGTCCACAGCGAATCTCAACCAAAGTGCTCATCACACCATCAAGGAGGATCTCTCTAGCCTGTCCAGTGCGAATGGCGGCACAGCCAGCAGCCATCATACGAGCGCCGGCCAGTCCGCTCACGGCCAGGATCTAGGGCCCATGATCAAGGGTTCGCAGTCCGCCAGCTGTTTGGGCAGCAGCGCAAACGCGGGCGGCGGCGGTGGTGGCAGCACCACCCCCAGCTCTCAGGCCAACAGCTCCCATTCGCAGAGCAGCAACAGCGGCTCCCAAATCGACTCCAAACAGAACATCGAGTGCGTCGTCTGTGGCGACAAAAGCTCCGGCAAGCATTACGGACAGTTCACATGCGAAGGTAAGTCTGCGATCAAGCCCTCCAACTATCCACCCATCAAGCCATCAAACCAGCCACCCATCAACCTATCGATATGTAATCTCACAATTGCCAGCTCTTGCCGGCGAAAAAATCATTTCAATTGGAGTTTTATTTCTTTCTTTCATCCTATGATGACCAAACAGAAATTGTTTTGTGGTGCCTTCCCTCCTCCTCTTCCTCCCTCTCCTCCTCCTCCTCCTCCTACTCTTCCACCAATTCTGTTCAAATAGCGGCAAATAGTTGGCGCAGTCCATGAAAAATAGTTGGCAAACATAAAAGCGTGCCTGCCAGCCGCTGATTTCTGACAGTTACTGTGAATTATGGCAGTTTGATGAGTTGGCAATATCCAGGCACCTACCAGCTACACAAGATACCAACATATAGTATCCATGTATACTCTTATTTATATTGGTATACTTGTATGCAAATTTTTGCAAAGGAAGAGTTCAAGTCAATGGTCAATTTCTATTTTGGCAAGCGAAGTCAGGCAGTGGCAGAGAAAACATTAAACAGGTCAAGCGTTGACCTAAAAGTTACATTTTTATTAAAATTATGACAACGAATTCAATATTACTATATATTCATCAGATAGTTGGGATTTAATAATGATTTTTATAATTTTTATGAGCTAATGATTTGAAACGGAAATGTTCTTATTTGAAAAATTCCAAATTTCTAAGGTTTCCCGGTCGAATTAAAAAAATAATTCTATAATTTCATTAATTAAATTACATTAAACGGGCTAAGAATGAGGTAAAAAAAATATTTCTCCAATAGCTTATACTCAATAAAAGCAAAAATAAAAAAATAATATAAAAATAAAAGCAAATGTATAAAATTCCAATAAATATGCCTCCAAATAACAATTATTTCTCATTTGAAAAAAATTCAGCACTCAAAAGCTAAAATAATAAATTATTGGGAATTTAGATTTTTTAAAATTCTTTTAACATTTTGAAACTAATTTTCGTATTTGAAAAATTCAGCCCCTATCTACGATTTTCCAATGGGGTTGCATTCAATTTTCAAACACATCCAGAGTTAGTTAGAAATTATATCTCTGATAGATAGTTACATTGAGAACATAGATAACATCCAGAGTTAGTTAGAAAAAATTTATTTCTGAAAGATAGTTGCATAGAGAATTCAAATTTATAATATTTCACTAAAATTTAAATACAAAATAGAAATAAGTCAAGTACTCGGAATACAAATTCTTTGGTTTCAGTTATTATTTTCTTGACTTTTTGAAAACTATTTTCTTATTCAACCACTAAGTCGATATTCAATCAGCCAAAAAAAAAAAAAAAATCAAAACAAAGAGCAACTCTAGAGATTATTTGATAATGTTAAAAAATTGAACTTTTGTATATCCATACAAATAATTCAACCATACTGAATGAACTGGAAAATATATAAAAACATAAATCTAAAAAAAAATCTAAAAAAAATATTCAAACAGCGAGCTAACTTGTTTCATGAAAGTTATTAGACAGTAACTTTATATAGCCTTAAAATAATTATAATGCTCGCTTTTATGGTTCTCGTTATTTTATTCCGTCTAAAACTAAGATATCACAAATCAATATCATAAATTCAAAACAATATTATTTAGAAAAGCGTTCTCAGCTTCTTCAATCCATCTTCAAGCAATTGTTCAACTCATTCAATTGGAATGTCCACCTCACTATGTATGTACTTATGTATGTAGCCCGATTCCGTCATCTCTGTCTAGAATTCTTTGCTAAAAATAGCAGTCTTCTCAGATACCTTAATCTGCTTACGCCGTTAGATCAAATAGTGTTCCGTTGGCTCTCCGACCACACTTGAACCCAACACTGATGCTACAACGGGTGCCAGACAAAGCCACCGGACCTACACAAGCACCAAGTTGCTCATTACGCTTCCCTTATCGCCAGATAAAAACCTATTATCTCCCGGCCCGGCAATTGTTGTGCAAACATGCAAATTGTGGGGCCGCTAAATGAAGTGCAGCCACAGCTTATTGTCTTTGTGGCGTTCACCAGACGGAGTCAGAGCTACAGCTAGAGCTGTCAGCTGGAGTGGAACTGTCATATACAGCGCTCTTGAAAAGTTCTAAATAGTAGCTAGAGCGGGGGAACTTGTTCTTGCGGAGTTTAAAAAAAAAAAAAAACTGGGTTAGTGGTTAAAAAAGGGGAAATTGGAGTAATTGAGAAACTCTGAGCTCTTCAAACTCTCATTGCAAGTGCTAGACTTTAGTTTGTGAGTACTGGTTTTTATCGAAAAGCAACGCTACAAGCATAATATCGATCTGCATTTGCACTTATCGATCAATTTGAGCAGGCGCCAAAAAAATCATTTTCTAGATATTTTTAATAAATTCCGATAGCACATTAACCGATAATAACAAGTGGTAGCTTATTTTTAGTAATGACTGAAAGAAAATACTGCAGGAAACACGCACACACATGTCTCAGAGCTTGTCTTATGTCACAAATGCGTTATTTTCTGCTGCCCCGCAATTTATTTTAAATACAGATATCGAACGATATTGAAACAATTTTTTTGTATAGAAAAAATTCTAAGTCAACTAGCTGTTGGCAATATTTATTGTTCAATTATATTTTGGTGTTCAAATATGAAAGAAGTTTTCGAAATTCAATTTCTCAAAGCAAATTATTTTGGTTTAGACTTTCAATTCGCTAAACGATTACTTAATAATTATGATCGATAATTTTCGACATGCAATAGGTTAAAAGCAAATTTATACTTATTCAAGCTATCGAGCAGTTGATCGATATAAATTTATAAGATGTTTAGGATGTATTTATATCTCCTCCAATTCTATCTAGCAACTGATTTATGAATTGCTAATTAAGTTCGATAAATTATCGATTTACATAATGTAATAAGCAATTAGCGTATACTTTTTGAAATGTTTAGGATGTGTTTTTTCCAAACATACATATGTATATCCCTTTCCAATTCTATCTAGTAACTGATTGATGAATTGCTAATTAAGTTCGATAAATTATCGATTTACATAATGTAATAGCCAATTAGCGCATACTTTTTGATATAAATGTATAAGATGTTTAGGATGAGTTTTTTCCAAACATATACATATCTCTTTCCAATTCCATCTAGTAACTGATTGATGAAATAAGTTCGATAAATTATCGATTTACATAATGTAATAAGCAATTAGCGCATACTTTTTGAAGGTAAGAAAATTCTTGAATAATTCTAAACTCAGATTTGTGTTAGCTCTGAAAAGTGTTTGTTGTGGCGTTCTGGGCTGCATTGTAGGCGCTGGCTATTATTATTAATCACCGAGCATTTTGTACGCATGCGCAACAATAACAACAACAATCCAAATAGTTCTGTGACCGCCTCGTTGCATTCTGAAGGTGTTTCCCCCTTTAAAGAGCGCACACATAAGAAATGTGGCGCACAAACAGACTCACACGCACACACACACACACACACACCCTCGTAGTATCTGTATCTGTGCGCTGATGATGTTGCCACGATAGCAATCTATTTTGTTCTATGCAATGCCAGTCAGGCAGTTAGACAGTCGGACGGCCACTCAGTGAGGCAGCCAGTCAGTCAGTCAGTCAGTCAGCTGAAGTAAATGCAGGCGGGCAGGCATAAAAAGTAATAATGAAAAGCATATGGAAAGAGCAGCGAACACTCTACTTCCACATATCATTGTGGGGCGCAAGAGCGGGCGATCTTTGTTTTATTTTTTTGCATTTTTCTAAGCATGAAACTATTTTTTGGACTGAAATCCATAATGTGCGCCGCATAGTCCTGCCGGGCAGAGCTTTGCCCGAGACTCTCCGACAGAACTCGTTTCGCTAGCTGTCTGTCTGTCTGCCTGTCTGTCCATTCGCTCACTTGTCCGCCTCTCCCCTCTCTGATCGCAAACTGTTCGCCAGCGAGCTGCGATCGTTCAGGGCGTCTTGTATGTGAAATTTATGCCAAGGCACCCCACTCGTAGGTCGTCGTCTCTTAGCTGCAAGATTAATTGTAGCTTATGCGTGTTGCCTGCCAGTCTCCCTGTCTGGCAGTCCATTGTTGTCCATTGCTGCGCCTCCTCGGCTTGTAGTAGCAACTTGTTTGATTCTGCACAGCTGTTCAGCGTTTTTTTTTCCTGCCGTTTGCTGTTTCTTCTCCTTCATTTTTTGGCCACTTGTAGGCGATAATGCGACTCGGAAGGCTTTCCCTGGCGAAATTAAGCGAAACAAAAAAAATATATATATATAGAAAATGGAATAATGGAAAAACCATGGCCAGGCAGCATCAACAACATCAGCATCTCACTCGGAGTCAGTCGAGTGTGTTGCATGCAGCTCCGACACTATGTAGGTACAAGCATTTCCACATCACTGCCACTTAACCTACCCAAATAGACTCAAAAGCGCCGTATAACCTTTTATAAAAGTCACGGTTCGGCCAGAAAAATGCGCGCTGATAAAAACAGCGTGATAATATCAATGATGAGTGCATGCCTCTAACGTGCAAGTCCTGCCCTCCCAGCTCTGTTCAAGAAGTCGACAAACGACAACAACAATAACAGCACACAAAATACAACAACATCATCAATAATAACAACACACCACTTCGCGCTTATTAATTTAGCTATTTGTCACGGCTATTAGCAGTCGAAAACTTCGGTTTCATATCTCTCTCTCGAATTGCAGCGCATCATTAATTAGAAAATTGCCAGACTCTGCGCCATTACAAAGGCTAGACAGCGTTAAACTATGGTCAGACAGGCAAATCGTTTGCACACAAATACAAATGTATTTCGAAACAAAAGCTGCCTTCTTTAAACGTCAAATAATTATGCGTCAGAAAAGCATAAAAATCATACAATCTGACAAATGAAAGCCTGTCTTAATTATTGCCATAAAACAGAGGTTCTTAGAGCACAACATCCACCTAGAAACATCAGATATTTATGCGTCAGAAAAAAATTGTAACCAAAA